GGCATGCAGAATCTTTAGTTGCGGTATGTGGGGTCCTCACTTGTGGCATGCAGGGTCTTTAGTGCGGCATGCGGGGTCTTTAGTTGCAGCATGCAAACTCTTAGTTGCAGTATGTGGGATCTAGTTCCCTGACCAGGGATCGAACCCGGGACCCCTGCATTGGGAGCGTGGAGTTTTAGCCACTGGACAACCAGGGAAGTCCTGTAAAATGTTAATAATAGGGAAAATGGAGGTAGGGTCTATATACTCACTTTTTCTGTACATCTAAAACTGTTCTTAAAAAAGTCTATTAATACAAAAAAACTGATAGGGTTGAAAGGATAAAGAAATACACAATTGTAATTGGACACTTCAACTATTCTCTCAACAATCAGTAGAAATAGACAGAAAATCAGCAAGGATACAGAGGAAATCAACAACACTGTCAGCCAGCAGGATCTGATCAACATCTGTAGAACACTCCACCCAACAACAGCACACTACACATCCTTTGCAAGCACCATAGATCATACACCAAGATAGACCATATCCTGGGCTATAAAACAAACCTCAACAAACTTAAAAGAATTGAAATCATACAGTCCAGATTCACTTGGGGAATAAAATAAGTTCATACTTCTTATTTATTTACTTAATAAACTTATTTACTGAAGCATAATTAAACATTTCTAGCACAGAAGCTGGCACACAAAAGTCTGCTGGATGAACAAAATAGTGAATGAACGAATGAATAAAAAAGAAAATATCTTGGGGGCCAATATTGGGGGGGAATCTTACTTTATTAACTTATTCAGCATTAATTAAAGGTACTTTCTATGATTCATTGAATTTTTTTTTTTTTATTCAGAAAAGCTCACAGAATCCAGGACACAAATGTTCCCTGTGCAGCAAGAGGGTTGCATTCCAAAATGGCCAGCAGATGGCGCCAAAGGATGTGGTTCAGCCCATGAGGTTGTGCTTCCGCAGACCTAGGGGTCCTCCTCACCTCTCCCAGCCATGAAAAGGAGAGCCAGCCCAGTCCTTCCTGTGTCTCCCTCTGCGGCCTGAGGACCCCCACCAACCACTGCTAGGGTGAGGATAGTAAGGATGCAGAGAGAGCAAGTGTAGGAAATGCTAACGTGATGCTTGGCCGAAAGAGAGGCAAGGAAAAGTGGGAGTAAGATGAGGGTTGGTGATGGGAAAGATGTGAGGACACTGAAGTGTGGGTGGCAAGCATGGAGTGGAGAGAATGCGGATAGGAAAGGACAAGCAAAGTCCCTGAGTTTGGGGCATGGGATGCACAAGTGATGGGTCACACACTTCCATCGTGCCTGGGAAAGGTCTAAAAGAGCAATCCCCAACATTTTTGGCACCATGGACCGGTTTCGTGGAAGACAATTTTTCCACAGACCGGGGGAGCAGGGGGGATGGTTCAGGCGGTAATGCAAACAATGGGGAGCGATGGGGAGCAGCAGACGAAGCTTCGCTCACCTCCTGCTATGCAGCCCGGTTCCTAACAGGCTGCAGACCGGTACCGGTCCTTGGCCCAGGGGTTGGGGACCCCTGGTCTAAAAGGACAGGTGTGAAGCCTAGCAGTTTGTAGATTTGTCGAGGAAGTTGCCTCCAGGTGGCTTCTATTTTGTCCGTGAAGCAGGAGACCATGGTGCCTATTGACAGTTGGTGGGGGAGGGGAGGTGTCAGAGTTGAAGGGGAGCTGACAAGGGAAGCCCACGAGGACTGCTGGCCAGCACCAATGGTGGGTCTGGGGGATGACGCCATTCAGCTCAGCTTCTTCATTCACTTGTTCATTCATTCTGCAAATATTCATTGATAACCCACTATACCAGGCACTATTTTGGACAATGTAACCTACATCCTGGGGAAGGGGTCGGGGGGACAGATGGACAAATAAATAAACAAAAAAAATATGACATCATGGAAAGAGAAGGGCTATGAAGAAACAGGCAAGGGGAGGGACAAAGAGTGCTGGGAGTGCTGTGAAACGGGGTGCTTAGGGAAGTTTTCCTAGAGAAGTGACAGCTGATTAGAGAACTGAATGCAATGAGGGAAAGAGACTTGCACTACCTGGGGGCAAGCATTCCAGATAAAGGGGACAGCTAGGGCCAAAAGAAGGGGGCCACGGAAGGAAGTGGGGGCCACAGAACAGATCACACAGGACATTGGAAATCACCTTTTATGCTCAGTATGGTGGGAATCGCTGGAAACCAGGGAAGCACATAACTGGATTCATATAGTTTAAAGGATCACACTGGCTGCTGTGTGGAGAACAGGCTAAAAGGGCCAAGCATGGAAGAAGGGACACCAGCTGGTCATTATGAGAAAACACGGCTTTCATGTGAATACACCATTATGTTTGGCAGACCATTAATTAGACAGGCAGTTCTCTAGAACTGAACCAGCAGCCCACCTCACTCTGCACCTTGGGATCACCTGTGGGCTCATCCTGACAGCCCCGAGCAAATGCAGAGTGACTCAAACCAAAGGCACTTCACTCCTACCTTTGTTTGTAGGTAGGGCAGACATTCCAAGTGGCTCCCATGAAGGCGGAGCTAATATTCCTCACCTGTTCCAGAGCAGCAACAGTGGAAAGAGACAGTATTTGCCAAGTAACCCAGGCCCCCTGAAGGAACATTTCTGAGGCTTCCACAAAGCCATAACTGAACACCTTGCCCATGGATTCACTAATGCCCACAGCACAAGAAACCATGCAACAAATTCTACATAGAATCCAGTGCCAGGAAAGAACTTTCCTCTCAAGTGACCTCCCACAGGTGACAGAAATTGTATAGCAGGCATAGGCACAGGTGTTGGCCTGAGCATGCCATATTAGATACCACTAAGAGTCATTTGGGTTTCAATCAATGCCACGGCTGTTTCAGGAACCTAATCACAGCAAGGAACTCATCCTGTGTCCCTGGTACATCTAGTCTCTGGTACATATTTCTGGTGGGCACATGCACTCATTTCTTTTCGGTATATTTCGGTATATTTCGGTATATTTCCAGGAGTGGAAATGCTGGCAGGCACATGGCCTGCTTTAGTAGAACCTGCCACCACAGTCTCCCAGTGTGGCTGTACCCAGTTCCACTCTGTCTGGTAATGGCCTAAGATTTTTTTTGATGGCACCAGCCTCTTCTTTTTATCACATAGTAACTAGAATAAGCCTGCACTGTGGCACCAAACAGACCTTGGATCAAGTCTCAGCATCACCACCTACCTGAGTGATCTTAGGCGCATTACTTGCATTACTTAACTCTCTGGAGGTTTTGCTTCCCTGATGGGATGAATCACCCTCCCCAGCCTGAGCTGGCATCCATGTCAAATTAAGAGACTCTACCTCCAGCACTTACGACTACCCTCCTGACTTGGGCACACCTGAAGCTCCCCAACATGCAATCACCAAATAAACATTTCCAGCCCTTCACCCTCATAGAGTTCTTCAAAATTCCTACACCTGTGATCCAGAGACTCTAAGTATTACTTTCATCCCCCATACTTATGTGATGGGCCACTTCTTTCACCACTTTCCCTAGCACAGTTGGTGGGGAAAATCCAGGACATGGGGAGGGTCCAAGACTGTATCACTTGTCCATTTAAGTATTGTTATGGAAATAGCTCCAAGATACATTATGTTAACTAAAACAAGCAAAATGCAGAACAGGATGAATACTTTGTCACTTTAGCATAAAAAGGAGAGAGAACAGTATACATTTACAGTGACATATCTAAAAACGGATACACAAGATACTAATAACACGGGGCCATTGGAAGTGGCAATGGTATTGGGGACAGGCGTGGGAGGAGGTTGTTCAGTGTATCCTTTTATGACTTTAGAGCTTTAACTACATTGATAGATCCTCTATTCAAAAAAATTTTTTAAATATATACTTACAGTTTTTCAAGTTATGCATCAGGCGAACATGAATCCCTGACATAAACTCCATGAGGGATGTCTGGTGGGTCAACCCTGGCAAAGCAAGGATGCCTATTAGATATGTCCATGTAGGCGTGTGTGTAGGGGTGTATATGCATGTAGGAGGGTGTGCATGTAGGGATGTGCAGGCAGGTGCAGGGAGGCGTGCAGAGGAATATCTATGTGTTAGACATGTCCATCACAGCCTGAGGTGAAGGGGGAAAGGACGTAGAGTCATATCAAGGGCACTGCCCTATACTTCTGAAGAGTGGACCCAACCTAAGTTCATAGAGTTAGACCAGGGGGTGCACCTGACTTTTCATCACTTCCTCCACCACCCAACCCCTCAACCCTATAGAATTCAAACTCTGTCACTAGAAATCTGGAGTAAGAAAATGACTAAATGTTCTTTAAGGTTTTATGCATGTGTGTAAGTGTAGTTGCGTATAGGTGTAAGGGTGTGGGGTAGTGTATCTGTGTGGGAGTGATGTATGTGTGTGTGGGTATATAAGGGGTGTATATGTGAGTGTCTGTGTTTTCACTCAGCAAAAAAATGGCTGGACTATCCACCTTCCCAGAAGTCAACAGAAGCTAAGCCAAGGGCCAGACCCAGGGCCCTGTGGCCAGGTGACACTGATTAATAATTAACACATCTGAGCTTGGCATGGAGCCACAACAGGTGTCCCCTCCCATAAAACTCACCTTCACTCCATGTGGCCATGTTACCCGATCAGGCTCTGAGAAGTCTGGCAAATGGCCAACAGGCAGACCCAGGCCTGTCCTGAAGGAGCTGAGGCTGGGCAGTGAGGGGCCCTTACTCCAGAGGGGTCTCACGGGCAGGAAAGGAAACAACCACAAACAGATTGGGGTGAGGGGATGCCCCTTCCACTAAAGGCAGGCACCTTCCTTTCTGGGGGTATAGCCAGACCACAGCACCCCCACCATCCTTTCACTCAAAGAGGATATGACAGATAAACACAGACACACATACACACACGTACACACACACACACACACACACACACACACACACACACACACACACAAACATATACACACAAGGCTAAGAAAAACGGAAGAGAGAAGCTGAGGAGCACAGGAAGGGCAAGCCTCTTTTATTATCCCAAAATGCAGAGTATTGAAGGCACTTACAATAACAAGTTCAGAGATGAGGGGAGGCATGGGAGGTCAGAGGTCAGAGCACAGAGGTAAATCAACAGACCCCACCCTGGTCACCACCCAGCAAGGAGAAAAGGAAAAGCTACAGGGCCAGGTCTGAAGCCATTTAGATGTCTAGCTCTACAAAAGATACAAATCCATTCTCCAGAGGATTAGGAAATGAGGAGTACACAACAGCAAGGGGCAGGGCTGAAAGTCACAAGTTAGTGGTTCTTTAAGGAACACGCTCGGTAGCGAGGAGGCCCTCAGGTCCCCTGCTGGAAGAGGTCTCGGTACATCTCAATGAGACGGGCAGCCTCGCGCTGGCCAGAGAGCAGAGCACCATGGGTGGTGGAATAGTACTTGCGGTGGGTGGCCTCACCTGAGAACAGCACCTGCATGGGCTGGGCAGGGGGACAGGGAAGTGAAGGTGGAGGAGCAAGAAAGGCTACCTGTCTGCCCCAGAACCACCCATCCATACTACAAGTCAGAGAGGAATAAGCAGGCATCTGAGATGCAGGTACTATTTCCACAGGATGAGGAGTTGCCCATCCCCATCTTCCCCTGCTTCTTCCCCAAACATCCAGGCCTCAGTCCTTTCTGCTCTGAGGCTTTCATGAGTCCTGTCTCTACAATTTCAGAGACTCACTGTGCCTCTTACTAGTGAACTCAGGGAATGAGTTAACCTCCCTAAGCTTTGATTTTCTCATCTCCAAAATGGGTTTATACCCTCTACTTCTGAGAGTGGGTGTAAGAATTAAGTGAAATAATGTATCTAAAGGACTCAGAACCTGAAAGAATATAAGCACTCAATAAAGTTAGGCAGTAATTTAACAAACCTTTATGGAGCCTCTATTAGGTTCCAGGGACTGTTCTGGGCACTTGGAAGATAAAAGGTGACCAGGCAGCTGCTTTGAGGAGCTTCCTTGCTGGTGGGGAAGCCAGACACGAAACCCAATTACTAAATGGCGTCATACGTGACGTGATGGGTGTTTGGGCGAGGTGCTGAGAGCCCAGGAAAGAGGCCCACTGTCAGGGAGATCACACAAAGCTTCCCAGAGGACAGGACCTTTGGGCTTCTTCTCGGAAGATGCTGGATAAATAAACAGGCAAAGGACGTTTCAGGAAGAAGGAAAAATGGGGGCAAAAATGCACCAAAACAGGCCTGGTCTAGGAGACAGTGAGAATTTTGGTATAGCCAGGGCTCAACCTTAAGAAAGGAGGCTGTTTAGGTGGGGTCCAAGCACAGAACTAATGCTTGCATTCCAAGCTTGAGTTTGGATTTTACTCCAGTACATCTCAAACTGAATGTGCAAAGGTACCAGCTGGGGACCCTGGTAGGATGCAGTTTTTAATTCACCAGGTCTGGGGTGGGCTGAGAGTCTGCACATCTAACATGCTCCCACATGATGCCAGTGCTGCTTGTCCATGGACCACCCACCTTGAGTAGTGAGGTTTTAACCCACCAACAAAGAGCCCACAGAGGTGGTTAAGCTGAAAAGGGGGCACATATTGTGGAAGAGGGCAAGCTCCCTACTCCCACATCCATTCTCTTTCTCCTCAGTAACAAAAATCCTGTCTTTTAACTGGGTCCATTGCCATCCGGGAAAAAAAAAAAAAAAGATGTATCCCAACCTAGTATCCCACTAGCAGCTGGTGGAGTCATGTGACTAAGTTCTAGCCAATCAACTTCAAGTTCACTGTTGCTCAGAAACACTGACTCAGCCCAGGGGTTCCCTTCTTTTACCCATCAGCCTGTCACAGATATGAGAGCAAGAGCAGCAGCCTCCACAGACCTCTTGGACCACAAGGTGGCCTGGAAGATGGAGCCAGGTGCTACTGATGCTGGGCCCTGACACCTACCTCCGGATTTCCTTTTATGTGACCTAAGTAAAGTTCCATCTTGTTTAAACCACGGTTTGTTTTGTTTTGCTTTTTGTTATATGCACTAGTCCTAACTGATGCAGGTGACAAGAAAAGGTGTGCTTTTCAGGAGGATGGCTGTAGCAGCAGTGAAGGCCTTTTCCTCTCTCCCCCTGAGCACAGCCAGGGCAGGCACAACACATGTTGGTTGACTACAATCTTCTTCACCAATTACACCAAAGAATTATTTTAAATATAATTCTGTTGGGGTTTTAACATTTATTGTATGTGTGTGCTTGGTGGGGAAAACTCAAAATTTACTTCATGGGAACAGAAATATATAGAGATAATTTCTTTTCAATTTATTATTTTTCTGTGTATATTATTACATAGTTGATGTAATTTGGGGGAGGGTGAGTATTCTCAATTTTATTTTCTAAAACATATTGGGGAAAATAAACAAAACATACTCGGTCAGTGCTGTCCAAAAGAACTTTCCACGATGCCAGAAATGCTCTATAGTGACACACTCTAACATTGTAACCATGAGTGACACGTGGCTCTCAAACTTGAAAGGTGGCTAGTGCAACTGACGAACAAAATGTTGGATTTATTACTTTAAAGCTAATGGCTACCATATTGGACAGCACAGCATTAAATGGCTCAGTTTTTATAACCTCAAGAAAGAGTTTAACACATCTCAATTTGACTCTGTTCTTCCAGATGTTGAGTGCACATTGTCTGTTTTCTTCTTCATTATGGGAGCTACTCCATCTATCTTACCTTGGCACTCCTCAGTGAACACTACCCTCCCACTCCTCCCCTGGACCAAACACACATACAAAATGCCCACCGCACCCCTCACAGATCCCCTCACTCTGCACCCCCTCCCTCACATACCCAGCACACCCACACTCACCGCTGTCTTGGAGCTCTCCGTGTATGGCAGGGGCTTGGCCAGCTTCTCCACATCTGCCCCACTCGAGCCCACCTGTGTATATGAATAGGATCCCCGGAAGTAGGGGTTGCTGCCCCAGGCTGAGCGCAGAATTCGCCGAGGCTTTGGAATGTTGGGGTTCCCTGTTGGGGAGTGAGAAGAGCCAAGGCGGGGGAGAATATGAAATGGCTGCACACAGAAGACACCCCTGAGAAGACAACTCCCACTCTACCTCTAGGGCTCCAGGAAGGCCAGGCTGCTACGGATAAACATGGAGTATGGAGGAGGGAGGGATGGAGGCTGGGGTTCAAGCTGTGTACCCCTCAACGCCTCGTTGTGACCCCCAGCAAAATACCTCCTCTCTGTGGACCTTAATTTTCCTATCTGAAAAACATTCCAGATAATAATGTTCCCCCTTCCAATTTTATGGGTTCTTGTGAGGCTCTTCTGGGATAGTGGAGGAAAGATGTTCAACTAAAAATCAGACAGAAAAAAACCACAAATCCATCTCTTAGCAAGACAACATGAGTAGGAAATCGGCAATCTGAGGTTTTGCGGTGAAATCTGAGTTTTTCACCAACAGCCCTTAGAAACAGAGAAGAAATACAGAGCCTGTGGTTTTGAGTGTCTCAAGTTCCAAACAGGGGGAGAGCCTGCAATTTAGGAGGCCAAGGCCAAGACGCAGTGCCCTACCGCATCTCTCCCAGTGGGCACACCACCTCAGTGTCACGACCTAGGGACAAGGATGCTAGCACACAGTTCAGGAGACCCAGAGGGTCTAGCGGAGGAGGGCAGACGCAGCGAGGCCCATGGAGCAGGCAGCGGGACAGGGACAGGGACGCACCTGTGAACTGCCGCAGCATCTCTGTGCAGATCTCAGCCACTGCCTCGTCATCACACTTCTCCATGACAAGGGCCTCCTCCCCACAGATCCAGCCACTCAGCACGTGGCCGTAGCGCTCAGGCGGGTAGAGGACATCAAAGCCACAGATCTTGCGGTACCAGAGCTCGGGTGGGTAAGTGAGCGTGTGGCTCTCCGCCTCGTCCTCCCACACAAACTGTAGGCTGTTGCACTCGGGGCCCCAGAAGGGCTCCTCGAATTCTAGAAAGATCTTGTCGGTGGTGCCGATGCCCAGTCGGTGGATGGCAGCCACCTTCTCAGCGGGCAGGCCTGGCCGGAAGAAGCTGGCATGCTGCGTCTTGAGCACGCCCAGCGACACGGTCACAATCACATGGTCTGCTGGGATCACCTCACAGTCCTCGCACTCCACCACCACCGGCCACTGCTCATCCTCATCCTGCCTCTCCCCCTGGGGCTCCTCTCCACCCTGGCTGCCCTCCCCAGTGTCATGATTATGGTTACCCTCACCCCGGGGCTCAATCTCAGGGCCCCAAGGGTGGGACGAGGCCTGGTCCCAGTGAACACAACGGACGGGTTTCCCCAGCTGGATGATGTGGGCCGGGATGCCCTCAGCCAGCAGCTCCACAACCCGCATGAAGCCCGAGGGGATGATGTGGTGGGCACCGGGAATCTCAGTCCACTCCCCAAAGGCGCTCAGGGACACCTCGTCCATGCTGTGCGAGCTACTCTCACAGCTCTCCACCTGTGGGAAGAGCCAGAGGGGAGCCAGGTGACCGCCAAGGCTGGGCAGGGGTAGGAGCAGGACTTTAGGGCAGTGCCGCCCTCCTCGGACCCAGATTCCCCAGGGTCAGTCTTCCTCACTCTGGCATTTGTACTCAACAGAGCTCCGAGATGGCAAAGATACCTTCAGGTACTGCTGGATCATGGCGAGCTTCAGGCGCTTGGTGGCCTCTGGATCATCAGGGTCGTCCCTAATGCGGTTGCGCACCTCCTCTCGGGTGAACACCCCCACGCTGTTCTGACTCTCAGCATTGACTGGTTTACCGTGCCGGAAGAACTCTTGGGTCAAGTTATAGACCTACAAAGAGACCCCAGGAGACTGAAAACACATTCACTCATCCTACCTCCATCTCAGACCTAAGAGCTCCAATTCAGTAGTCACCACCTCCAAGGTGTTCCCGGATGTGCTAAGCCCACGGGGCCTCTCCTTTGGTAAATCAACGTCGTGCTCAGTGCTGCACTGAGGCTGAACCAACAAAATCGAGGTTTGGGGCTGAATCTGGGCAGTCAGCTTCCTTGCTTCCACACACAGGAGGTGGGGTGGGTCCCAGAGGCTCTCTTATTCAGCCCCTGCTTAGAACAAAGTGAAATGTCTGGTGCCTATACAGCCTGTGGGGAAGGTACTGCCCCTACATGCGCTCTACATGGCTGAGCATACTGCCCACTGAAGAACCCAGGTCTACACACATTTCCCTTTTCCAAGAACCAAATGCACAAATTCTTCCCCTGACATTCCCGCTCAAGTGTATCTGCTTCACCCTATCCCAGGAGGGCAGTCTGGAACTGTGGTCTGGCCAGTGTTTTGGGGGAGAGGGAGCAGTAGGGGCCTTGAAATCTGATCTTTCTGGAGACCCTCCCAATCATACTCAGGTCCACACAAAGTGTACCCTTTACTGCAGGACCCAGACGCATTTAAGGAAGATGGCCATGTTGGTGCAGGGCATGTGGAGAGGAAGGAGGCCCCAGTGCACCAAGGAATGGAAGTACACTTCACGGGCATATTTTGGCAAGAACTCCAGACCACACTTCATCAACAAAAAGCAATGAACAGTTCCTTGGAGTGGGGGCCTATTGCCTTCCCTGCCTGCCTGATACATAACTCCCACCAAACACTGGGCAGGTCTCCCTGAGGAAAGTAAGCCAGTCCTGGGTCAGGCTGGGATCCCCAAAGGGCAAGGTCTGAGCCCCAACACTCACTCAACAAACACTTACTGGGCTATGTGCCCAACACAAGTTGTAATGTTGAGGAAGACGGACATGGAACCAAGCTCTGGTCCTCCCTCAAGCTGGAGAGATATCATAACTGGGCTGTTTCTATCTGATGTGCTGTGACAAGAAAGAACCCAGGGGTTGTGAGATCAGCTCAGAAAATCTTGGACAGTCAGGAGATAACCAAGTAGGCAGTGGAAAGGAGAGGGAAAGTATTTCAGGCAGAAGGAACAGCATATTCAAAGACAGGGGAGAGGGAGAGTGTAAGATGCAAAGTGGCTCTGTCTTGCTGAAGTGGGCAGTGAGGAGAAAGACAGTTGCAAGAGAGGACTTTGGAAAGGCAGGCAAGGGCCAGGGCACGAAGAACTAACAGTCATGTCAAGGACCCTGGACTTTATCTAAGACCCTGGCAGACTTCCCTGGTGGTGCAGTGGTTAAGAATCCACCTGCCAATGCAGGGGACATGGGTTCGAGCCCTGGCCCAGGAATATCCCACATGCAGCGAAGCAATTAAGCCCATGAGCCACAACTACTGAACCTGCACGCTGCAACTACTGAAGCCCGCGTGCCGCAGCTACTGAAGCCTGCGCGCCTGGAGCCCATGCTCTGCAACAAGAGAAGCCACCACAATGAGAAACCCGCGCACTGCAAGGAAGAATAGCCCCCGCTCACCGCAACTAGAGAAAAGCCCGTGAGCAGCAACAAAGACCCAATGCAGCCAAAAATAAATAAATGTATTTAAAAAAAAAAAAAGACCCTGGCATCACTGAAGGGTTGTGAGCATGATCACATGCCCACTCTCCCTCCCAGGACACTGGTAGGTTTGGGCTCCTTGGCCAAACATCTGTGGCTGATGCTGATTAATGGTGTGTTTCCCCTCCTAAAGTGAGTCTGAATTTGGTCAACACACATTCATAGGAATATGTCTGCCCTGCAGCCCGGCCCTGGGGCTGCTGAGTAGAGGAAGGAAAGTGGCATGGCCCACCCCCCACCACTCCACTCAAGGGAAAAGCCTCCACATAAGATAGAAACAGGAATTAAACATGTCTCTGAATATAAAGAAGAAAATGACTTAAATTATCCCTTTTTCTTCTCCCTACAGTCACAAGATGCTGGGCGTTTGGTCTTAACTGGAGTCCTCAGCAAATTCCTCACCCAGTTCCACAGCCAAGGAGTCAGGCTTTCAACTTGCCTCCTCCCTACCCCGGGTTTTTCCCTTCAGTGATAAGCAACACAGTAGCTAGTCAGCTTATGTTAACTAAAGGCCAAAATGCCCAACTGAGGACAAACAAATTTAGTCCATCTATGTGATTCTTTGTGTCAACCACTGACTAGGACAGCCTTAACTGAACATGCATTTGTCATGTTCAGTCTCCTGTCCTGGGTTAAATGACATCTTCCCAATGTGATGCAAGGGAAATGGGACAGGTCTGTAACAGCTAATAATACTCACCCCAATCCTCATTAAGCACTTTTCATTGGGATCTCATTTAACCGTCATAACACTATGAAGTAGGTATAACTGTGTTCATTTTACAGGTGAGGAAAGTAAGGCTCAGAGAGGCTCAATAACTTGCTCACGATTATACAGCTAATAAATGGTAGAACTGGTATTGGGTTGGCCAAAAAGTACCTTCGGGTTTTTTTTGTTTTTTATAAATTTATTTATTTATCTTTAGCTGCGTTGGGTCTTCGTTGTGGTGCATGGGCTTCTCATTGCGGTGGCCTCTCTTGTTGCAGAGCACAGGCTCTAGGCGCACGGGATTCAGTAGTTGTGGCTCGCAGGCTCCAGAGCGCAGGCTCAGTAGTTGTGGAGCACGGGCCCAGTTGCTCCAAGGCATGTGGGATCTTCCCGGACCAGGGCTCAAACCCGTGTCCCCTGCACTGGCAGGCGGACTCCCAACCACTGCACCACCAGGGAAGTCCCAGTACCTTCGGTTTTTGAGTAAAAATAAAAGACACATTTTTCAATTTCACCAAGAACTTTATTGAGCAACATATTCACCATCTTGTCCCACTACCTTCTGCCATTTTTCAGGCACCTTCATAATTCCATCTTCCCAAAACTTTTTACCTTTTTGAGCAAAGAACTGTTCCAGGTGCCTTTTACAGTCTTCCAGGGAATTGAAATTTCTTCCATTAAGAGAATTTTGTAAAGACCGAAATAAACGGAAATCCAAAGTTGCAATGTCTGGTGAATACAGCGGATGAATCAGAACTTCCCAGCCAAGCTGTAACAGTTTTTGCCTGGTCATTGAAGAAACATGAGGTCCTGCATTATCCTGATGGAAGATTATGCATTTTCTGTTGACTAATTCCAGACACTTTTCCTCGACTGTTGCTTTCTAATTGGGAGCAGTACTTGATGGAATTAATCATTTGGTTTTCCAGAAGGAGCTCATAATAAAGGGCTCCCTTCCAATCCCACCATATACACAACATCATCTTCTTTGGATGAAGATCGGCCTTTGGTGTAGTTGGTGGTGGTTCATTTTGCTTGCCCCACCATCTCTTCCGTTCCACATTATTGTACAATATCCACTTTTCATCGCCCATCACAATTTGTTTTTAAAACGGAACGTTTTCATTACGTTTCAGTAGAGAATTGCATGCGGAAATATGGTCAAGAAGGTTTTTTCCACTTAACTTACGTGGAAGCCACACATCAAAGCGATTCACAAAACCAAGCTGGTGCAAATGATTTTCAGCACTTGATTTGGATATTTTGAGTATGTCGGCTATCTCCCGCGTGGTATAACGTTGATCATACTCAATTAATGTCTCGATTTGATCGCTATCAGCTTCAACTGGTCTACCCAACCATGGAGCATTGTCCAGTAAGAAATCTCCAGCATGAAACTTCACAAACCACTTTTGACACGTTTGATCAGTCACAGCACCTTTTCCATACACTGCACATCTTTTTTTGCGTTTCAGTTGCATTTTCACCTTTCTTGAAATAATAAAGCATAATATGCTGAAAATGTTGCTATTTTTCTTCCATCTTCAATATTAAAATGGCTACATAAAAATTCACCAATTTTGATAAGTTTTTTTTTAAATGCACGCTGATATGACAGCTGTCACAATACAATCTAACAAAATTGTTCTGAATGAATTTAAAGACAACAAAGTACTACTAGAGCCATCTTTCGGAAAAAAACGAATGAACTGTTTAGCCAACCCAATATTTGAATCAAGGTAATCTTGCTACAGAGATTAAGCTCTATATGTTAACTACTGAACAAACTCATTTATTTGTTAACAAATATAATACATTCAAATGAGTAGCCCTTCAAAGTCATCACCTTGGGAGGGAGGCTACATATTTATTATGAAACCACCCTCAGGCAAGGCTTCACATTCTTAGAGCACACCTCTTCAGAATGGCCTCCAGCACTGTCTAACAGCTATATAAGGAAATCTCTCTTTTGACTTCATTAACACCTCTTCCTTCTGACCCAAAGCAGCACCACCCAGAGTGATAATCCACCTTTATCCATCCTACTTTCCATGACTCACACTCTTGGCTTTCAAAAATCAAACCCACAAGCAGAAGTTGATGATGATCTACTTTGAGGGATATTTAAAAGAACAAGTAAGTCATGGACCCTGAAAGTCATTCTCAAGAGGCATCCAGGCTTGAAGCACTCACAATAACATGGGAATCATGTTATTGATGGGAATCAATAACAATAACATGGGAATCATGTGACTGATTCCCAGTAGACCAAGAAGGTCTACTTTGAAGAATACTAATTCTTACCTGCTTAATAATAATATTAGAAGTGAGAACACACAACACTATAGGATTGTACATAACATACTATGTGGGTGCACACACATAAGACAGTGAGTGTGCCTGCCCTCCACTGAGCAGGGATAACCCCAAAGCAAGAGTCATTTCTCCTTTCCCATGCCCAAAAGACATAGAAAATGTACAATAGGTGGCTGTTGACCAATTTACTGACCTGAAGTGAAGGGTCATTACACTATAAATGACAAGCTATCAGAAGGCAAGATCTACATGTTACCTTGCTTGTTCTTTGCAGTTCACAGCACCACTGAAAGTTACTAAAAATATTAACATTCTTTTTAAAAACCTGAATAAGACAAGGATGTGTGTCATTGATATTTCTATCCAACACTGTACTGGAGATTGACAGTGCAGTAAGGCAAGAAAAAAAAATTAATAGTTTTAAGTTATGCTGTCTAATACAATAGCCACTAGATCTCTATAGCAATTTAAAATTAAATTAAGCATTTAGTTTCTCAGTATTACTAGCTACATTTCAAGAGCTCAGAGGCCACATGTGGCTAGTGACTGCCAAACTGGATAGATGTCTAAAACATCTTCATTATCGTGGAAAATTCTATTGGACAACGCTGGTCTGAGGATTAGAAAGGAAAAAGCAAAATTCTCATTCTTTTGGTATATAGGATTATACACATAAAATTCCAAAATACCATTAGAACATAAATTAATGTGGTATATTAATAGATATAGTATTAGAGTTAAAATAATAATTTAGCAAGGTAGCTAAAATCAATAAATAAAAATCAGTTATAAATACCCATGACATTTTGCACATAACTAGAAAAAATAATCTTAAAATTTATATGGAGGGCTTCCCTGGTGGCGCAGTGGTTGAGAGTCCACCTGCCGATGCACGGGACACGGGTTCGTACCCCAGTCCAGGAAGATCCCACATGCCACGGAGCGGCTAGGCCCATGAGCCATGGCCGCTAAGCCTGCGTGTCCAGAGCCTGTGCTCCGCAACGGGAGAGGCCACAACAGTGAGAGGCCCATGTACCGCAAAAAAAAAAAAAGAAAAAAGAAATTTATATGGAACCACTAAAGGTCCCAAATTGTCAATGAAATTTGAGAAAAAAGAACAAAGCTGGAGGTATCACACTCCCTGACTTCAGACTATACTACAAAGCTACGGCAATCAAAACAGCATGGTACTGGCATAAAAAGAGACACATAGATCAATGGAACAGAACAGAGAGCCCAGAAATAAACCCACACACAATTAATCTTTGATAAAGGAGGCAGAATATACATGGAAAAAAGACAGTCTCTTCAATAAGTGGTGTTGGGAAAACTGAACAGCCACATGTGAAAGAGTGAAATTAGAACACTTTCTCACACCATATACAAAACTAAACTCAAAATGGATTAAAGACCTAAACGTAACAATGGAAACAATGAAACTCCTAGAAGAGCATAAGCAGAACACTCTTTGACATAAATTGTAGCAATTTTTTTTTCAATCAGTCTCCTAAGGCAAAAGAAACAAAAGCAAAAACAAATTTAATTTAATTTAACCTAAAAGTTTTTGCACAGCAAAGGAAACCATTAACAAAACAAAAAGCCAGCCTACCGAATGGAAGAAAGTATTTGCCAATGATATGACCAATAAGGGGTAAATATCCAAAATATATAAAACAGCTCATACAACTCAATATCAAAAAAGCTATCAACTCGATTAAAAAATGGGCAGAAGATCTGAATGGACATTTTTCCAAAGAAGTTATACAGATGGTCAACAGGCACATGAAAAGATGCTCAATGCAGCTAATCATCAGAGAAATGCAAATTAAAATGACAATGAGATATCAGCTCACACCTGTCAGAACAGCTATCATCAAAAAGAACACAAATAATAAATGTTGGTGAGGATGTGGAGAAAAGGGAACCCTTGTGCACTGTTGCTGGGAATGTAAATTGGTGCAGCCACTGTGGAAAACAGTACGGATGTTCCTCAAAAAATTAAAAATAGAACTACCATATAACCCAGCAATTCCATTCCTGGGTATATATCCACAGAAAAAGAAAACACTAATTTGAAGAGATATTTATACCCCAAAGTTCACTGCAACATTGTTTACAATAGCCAAGCTATGGGAGCAGCCTAAGTGCCCATCAACAGATGAATGGATAAAGAAGATGTTAGACAGATAGGTAGACAGATATAAAATATATAGTTATATAGTTATATATATTATATATATAATATAATATATATATACACACACACAATGGAATTTTACTCAGCCATAAAAAAGAATGAAAATCTGCCATTTGCAACAACATGAATGGACCTAGAGGTTTAGTGAAATAAGTGAGACAGAGAAAGACAAATACTCTATGTTATCACTGATATGTGGAATCTACAAAATAAAACGATTGAACAGAACAAAACAGAAATAGACTCAGATATAGAGAACAAACTAGTGGTTACCAGTGGAGAGAAGGAAGTGGGGAGGGGCAAGACAGGGGTATGGGATTAAGAGATACAAATTGCTATGTATAAAATAAATAAGCAACACGGATATATTGCACACAGCAGGGAAATATAACCATTATTTTGTAATAACTTTAAATGGAGTATAACGTATAAAAATGTTGAATCACTATGCTGCACACTTGAAACTAATATAATACTGTAAATCAACTACACTTCAATTAAAAAAAAGATGCAGTTATAATTCTATACACGGGGAACAATTTGAAAATAAAGTATTTTAAAATTACCATTTAAAAGAGTATCCAAGAGCAATAACAACAGTAATCATACCCACTTATCTAGTAATAAATCTAATAAAAGATGTTTAAGGACTTTATGGGGAAATATTTAATCAGGAGTATCACTAATCTCTTACCTAGTACTGCTCCACTCATTGTCTTCATTCTACCCTCAGATTGTCCTGATTTTCCAAATGCAGGGCCCAGAGAATGTGCAGACATGACCAGGATCGTAGAAGACCCCAGCAGGTCGCCCAGGCCCCTCAAGTCTGATACATACACACACACACACACACACACACACACACACACACACACACACACACTGCCAGGGCGTTCCCTGCCCCACAAACCCTTGTGCCCAACTATCCCCCTAATACCTCACCTCGTTGTATAAATCACTGAATTCCTCAACCACATCCTTGGGGATCCTGCAGCCATGGTTGGTGAGGTAGCAGGCCACGCCATTCTTGGAGTAGAGGCTGATGCGGCCCACACTGCGCTCCCCATCAGTTGTCTCTTCCAGAAGGCCATTGGCTTCTGCTAGATGATAGATGGGATTCCCGTGGGAGCCATGGATCCACGTGGCTCCCAGCTCAAAGGTGGCGTGTCCTGATGGCGACAATAGGCTCTTATAGGGGCAAGGAAGAGAGCCAGAACACTGCCTCACCCTCCTTCCTCCAAGAGGATCCTTCCATCCCCAACAACAGGGGGAAGGAAGCGGATTAGGTACCGCTCTAGCAACGAACCAAAATCTTCAGTGAAAATATCTCAGTAGAAACCACATGTGGCACAAAATGGATTCTACTTTATAGCTAACTTCTACCCTGAATAACTCTATGATCTGACACCAAGTCATCTCACTGGAATAATTAGAAGACTCTCCTAAGATAACACCAGACAACAGACCTCTCCTCCTCCTCAGGAGAACTTCTATGGGTACCAGTGGGTACAATGGGCCCAGTGAGGGGAGCAAGGATCCTTGAAATACCCAGTGAGGAGGTCCAGCCTTCCAGACCCAAGGTCCCCATTTGGCCTTATTCCAATTCCTCAAAATCCAGTGGCCCAAGAGTCTAAGCCACTCTGCCAGATGGAAAATGGTCACCTCCCAACACAGTCTGGGGCAGAAGAAAGAAGGCAAACATTCCAGTTTGGAAGACTCCTCCCCAAGGCAGTCTAAAACAGACTTCTGGAGAAAACTAAGCTTTCTCATCCTATGGCACAGGTGGCAGAACCCTAAGAGTCTGACTGGGGCAGAGGGAAACTCCTGGGCCCAGTTGGGACAGGGCTGGTGGCTCATTTTACCACCCCATCCATAGCCAAGGTATCAGATGCTCTGAGGCAAGTTGTCACTGTGCCTGTGCCTATTTCCTCTTCTGGGCCTCAGTTTCTTTTTCTCATGCTGCATGCTGTGATACATTTGTCTCCTCCCTTGCCTAGCTCCCAGGGAAGCTGAAACAATGAAAGGAAAACAGGAACATTTTTTGGTGTTTCGTTTTGTTTTTGGAGGCCTGATTCAAGACATCATGTGTGGTAACTTTTTTGCCAAGATGGTCACAATAATCCCTCCTATCCTTACACACATGGCCCTTTGCAATGTGACTTTGACAGTCCTGCCATCAAGAGATGGAGTCTTTCCGCACCCCTTGACTCTGGGCTTGGCTTGTGACTTGCTTTGATTAACAGAATGCAATGAAAGCAATGTTTGTGGTTTCAGAGCCTAGGCCTCAAGACACCGTGTGGCTTCCACTCTCTAGACTGTGACCACCATGAAGAGAAACCCAAATTTCTGGAGCCACAGAATATCAGCAAATAAAATGATGTTGTTTTAAGCCACTACATTTTAGGGTGGTCTGTTAATGCAGCAATAGTTATCTAATACACTATAACAGACAACACTCACCCCTCACCCCAGGAACTGGGCATTTCTCTTTTTTGTGTCTTCTCTTTCCTGGGCTGCTTCTAATTAAACCATCAGTTACTTAAAAAAAAAAAAAAAGAAAGAAAAGCTCTGTGTGCATCTATGTGCCAAACACAGAGCAAGAGAAAACACAATCAACCTCAAGCCACAGCCAGCAAGACAGAATTTCCTGGTGACTCTGGAATCAGAGGCAGGAATGTGTGGGTCCCTTTGTCCAGGGAAAGTGGGCAGACCAGAAGGCACGAAAAGCTAGAAACCCAGTGCCCTTCTTCCTCCACGGGGTTCCTGGGGGGTGGGGGTGGGGGGCACTGGGGACATTTATTACTAATTCTCCTTTAGAGCCTCAGGCTCCCCAAGGTCTTTTGCCTGGTTTGAGCTCCCAATAGGATCAAAAGGGGCCTGTACCCTCCCCAGGGTACACCAGGGAGCTCCAAGTCATAGTCACCGGGCAGTGATGTCCAGGCATGGGGTATCCAGGCATAAGCAGGAACGAGGTGAGCAGCTCAAGGTCAGCAGCAAGGTCAGTGCTCCACTCCATCCCCCAAGCTTTACAAGGAGGTGGGGTAGCCCAGAGTACACCTCAGTCTGAGGATGTTTCCTGCCCTCTCCCACAGGCCTCTCACCTTTGTCATCCTTGTTACATCCTGCATCCAAAGGGTACCAGGCACCATCTCCACATCTACCTCACGGTGTCCTTGGGGCTTCTGGTCATCGCCGCTGCCCTTACCACCGGGATTCACAGCTAGCATCTCACACTGCTGCAGGTCCAACTGCAGCCTGGGCTTTCAGCCCTGGGTGTCTGCACACACAACACACACACATACGCCCTTGCCTGGATTTGCTCTCCCGTATCCTGGCAGGGTCTGCCTTGATCTGATTCTTCACATATATCATGTGTGCAATTCCATGTGTGCAATTACCCCCTTCCTTCTTTTCACTACCTAGCCAACTCCCCTCATCACCTGAGGTCCACCCAAGCTCCCTCCCCTCTGAGGAAGGCTTCCTGCCATGTGCATCCCCTCAGCCTCCTGCAGCCCCATCCTTTCCACCTCCCTCCCTTCTACAATCACTTCCCTGCACAGCACGTCTCGGCTGCCAACTACCACTGAAACTGGGCTGTTTGTCCTCCCGTCTTCTGCTTTTATGTCAGACCCTGAATGTCTTATCAAGATTCAAGAACCACAAATGGAGCCATCCCATCCCTAAAGCTCCTAGTCAGCCAATCAGGTGTTGAGCAAAGAGTCTCAGGGCTTCCCAGCTGGCTGTCCCCAGGTTTGCACATGCCTTGGACTGCACTTTCATCCTCACTGCCAACACATACTCCTGTGTGTGCCAGGGGAAGACAGACATAATTTCACATACACCTTCCAGGAAATACTCTAAGGGAAGACTTTTAATGTGATCAAAGTTTTTGAAAGAAGAGAGAAGGTTGCTCCTCAACCTCTGCTTATTCTAAGTCTGTCCACCTACTTCTCTGAGCCAATTGCCCCATTCATCAAAAGTAAGCACACAGAATCTGCTTGGCCTTGCTGCCCATGTAGCAACAGACACAAAATCCTCTGGAGGGTCAGTGTAGCCCACACACTCCAGGCCACCATGAGTGGTCCCACTGGGCCATTTTCATGGTCAGACCCCCTGGATGGGAAACCCCTCTGACTTCTACCTGCATTTCAGGCAATTTCCCACCCTCTAGGACCCCTGGCAAAACCTGCCCAGCCCTAGGGTATGTCTCTTATCTGGCTGCTTTCTGCAGAGGCCTTATTTCTCTGCAACCTGGAGAGACCCTCCTCCTCGACAATCCTAAGACCTGCCCATCACTCACAAGGAGGCCCAAAGTCTTCTTCCACCTCCATTGCCCTTACCTCCTATTGTCCCAGGGCTAGCGCTCAGTCATGATAACACTAATTCATACTCAAAAGTTAACAACTAATAGAAACTTGCAGAATTCCCCTTCTTGTGAAATAGAAACCAGTCTACCCACTGCGAAGTTTGGTCCTGGGTGTCCTTTCCCTCCTAAACACTGTGAACTCTAGATCGTGTTCCAAAGATAGAGGCCAGAGCCCCATCCTGCCCACCTCAGAAGGGTGCTGAGAGGGGCAAAGGAAGGGAAAATGCCCAGGTAGCATGCATGATAGAACACTAACCCCCGGGAAGAAGATAAAATAACGAGATTTCAGGCTAGGTCAGGGCACTGGGAGATAAGAAGTGACCTTAGGAGATGACTGGACTGAGGTGAACTGAGGCACTTACCAAGCTTCACGCTCTGTACGCGGCCTCCAATGCGGCTGGAAGCCTCAAGCACAGTGACATCCGTAAAGCCCTGCTCCAGAAGTGCTTTGGCAGCAGCCAGGCCAGCCAAGCCGGCGCCGATCACCACCACACGAGGCTGTCCCCTTCTCCGCAGGCCACGACTGAGAGGGTCATCCGCACTGTCACCACTGGATTCACAACTTTGCATACCGTCCACACTCGCCTCCTAGGAACCTGCAGGGGGCAGGGGGTCACAGCTCACCTGCTCTGCCTTCACTTCCCACCTGCCCCAAGAGATGCTCACAGGCTCTGCCTTCAAGGGGGGACCCTGAGCCCTCTCAAGCCCTTCCGAGGACCTGGGCAAGAAGAGCCAACTCCAAAGGATGTGGGGAAGGAGGGAGGGAGCCACAGGGAAGGAAACAGGCAGGGAGGATGCACCGTGGGCCCCCATCAGCAAAAAGGAGAGCTGACAGCCCACCCCAAACCCCTGAAATCCATCAATCCCATCTCAAACCTAGCAGGCACCGCCTCTTCCCCAAGGATGAGACAAGAGTCAGTAAGACAAGAGTCTTGGTCTTGTATGACCAAGAAGGTCAAAATCAGGAGAAACTGATCCTGGTGCTGCTAACCCTGGACCAACACCGCCTAGTACAGCCCAGCACAGCCCAGTACCACTGCTGTGGTCCAGCTCACACTGACCTCAGGATGCTCTCATGAACCCCAGGATGCTTGTACAGACCTCAGGGTGCTGGAGCCAACCCCAGGATACTTGCACACACTGCACTAGACCCTCTGCTCTCCCTCCCTCCCCTGGCCCTTCCCTGGCACTCACTCTCCCTTGCCCTGTCTTCTCTTCTCCTCTTGCTTTCAGCTAGTTTTTCACAGCCTCAATGAGGTGGCAGTTTGGTAGGCAGGACACAGTCCCACCCTCCCCCCAGAAAGTGCCACGAGGCTGGTATCGAATGAACCTCTGCTATTCCGGGTAGGTCTCCAGTTTTTTTTCCCAGGCCACCCAGCCCCTCAGTCACCACAAAGCAGCGAAGAGCCCAGGAAACAGTGGACCGTGAGGACCCGTGGCACCAGAGGCCAGACATCAAATTGACAGTTACGCTAAGCCAGCTTGCTCAGAGACGCCAGCCTAGGGAGCTGACGGGAGGCCAAGGGGGTCCGTGAATCTGGCCCCAGGGCTGGGAGAGGCTACCCTTCTATTCCTGGAGTGACTACAAGGGTTTGAAGGTATCTGTGGGCCATCCCAAGGGGCCACTCAGATCTGATCCTGTCCGCATTCCTTTCCTGACCCAAGCTGCCTAAGGTTTCAGTGGCAGAAGTTGCATACTGTCCAGTTAGTTACCCATACCATCCATAGTATCCAGGACCTAACAGGGGAGTGAGTGTGAGTGGAAAGTAGCTGCTGGGCAGTGGACAGGGGGCATATAAAAAGCTGTCACCCATACCTAATCAAGCTAAGTAAAACACTTCCTATGACACAGCAGTCCCACTCCCAAGAATACACCCAAGAGAAACAGGGTATACTCCACCAAATAGACATAGAATGTTCCTAGCAGCTTTATTCATGATAACCAAAAACAAATATCCCAAAGGTCCGTCAACAGAAGAATAGATAAATATACTGTCCTATTTGTAGCATATTCATACAAGGGAATATTCTTCAGCAATAAACAGAACTAAACTACTCTCAACACTATTACATTGAACAAAAGAAGCCAGAGACAAAAGAGCTCCATACGGTATGACTCCATTTACGTGAAATCCATAAAGAAGTAAAATGAATCTGTGATGACAGAAGAGAGACTGGGAGGAGGGGAATGAGTGAAAAGGGTCAGAAGGGAACTTTCTGGGGTGGAAGGAATATGTATCTTTATATGAATGGTGGTTACACAATGTACATAGTTGTATACTTAGGATTTGTGCCACTCATTGCATATATGTATGCATATACATCTCAATAACTATTCAGATATTCATTCCTGGTTCACTATAAAAAAATAAAATAAAAGCTGTGCGCTAACTTCCTCCTTCACACGCCTCAAGGTCTGACCACTTAGATTTCCACTCCACCTCTAACATCTTTTTATCACAGATTTTAGAAGGGGTCTTTTTCTAAATATTCTCAGTCTGAGAAGCTGCTCCTTGCACCTCCCCCGCCCACTTCACCTGCCGATGCCACACCTGGGCACGGACAGGAATGTCACCCCACTCCTGCTCTCAAACTCCCTCCAAACTACACCCCACCCCCACCCCCGGGCGGCCAACTCGGTGCGGGACTGGTTCCCTAGAGGGCCGGAAGGTGGCGCCCGAGGCCCAGAAACCCTCAGAGGCAGGGGCTCCCCACACAGCCTGGATCCCTGCCTTCTTCTAGGAGAGCCTGTGTCCCGGCTTTCCCATTCCTCCCTCCTATGTCTGTCTGTCCTTCTGCGGTCCACCTCACCCCCCACCCCCGTCCCAGTGATGTTCTGTTCGGCCTCCTGGGAGCATGGAGGTCAGAGCTGGCGCAAGCCCTTACCTCCCCTCCCCCTTACCCTTCCTTCTCTCCCCCTCTGCCACCTTCCCGTCCCTCCCCCAGGTTCTGGCGGAAGACTAGAGGACTAAAATTAGAGGTGAGGGTGTGGCTGACTGCACCAGAGGCCAGCAGGGAGGAAGAGTCCGCCCCGCGGCGCTGGCAAGGAGCGTGCTCTGCGTCAGGTTTGTAAACACACAGGGAGCTAAGAGCTGCTGCTGTGGGCCTCCACAGCTGGGCACCCTGCTATGCTAAGCCAGAGTCGAGACTGCCCACCTCGCCCCCACGCCCCAGTTCCCCAGGACTAGGGGGCTCCGCCTGTGCGCTGCTCTCTAGGCCTCCAGTCCCACCCCCAGCCTGAGGCGGCCCTCCCCAAAACAACCACTTTTACACAGTAAAGGGGTGGGATCGCTACAGTGGTTTTCAGACCTTACTGGTGGAACCCCTTCTCGAAAAGCTCCTGTGGAGACCAGGGTGTAACTGGGTTGAAACTGGAGTTCCCGCTACCTCCGGAGGTCCCTAAGGTCTCATGGCAGAACCTCCCAGGCTCCCTGGAGCACCACCTATGAAAACCCAGGGATTAGGGTAAACTGCAGCCTTGGGTAGAGGTAAGGAATGCCTGGGGCAGTGGTGCATTCCCAGGGGGCTACCTGAACTTCCTGGCTTCCCAGCCTCCCTTTCCTTCTCTCTGAAGTGGCCCAGCTTGTCCTAACTGCATTATGTGACAGTTAAATAAGGCCCTATATGGATGTCAAGAGACTGTCAGCATTTTTAAGAGCCTTGTGCGGGAAAATCATTTGTAAAGTTCTGTAGCTAAATTATGAATACACTGCCTTTAGTACAGGCTTCAGGAATGGATTGTGGGAAATGCAGGCAGGCAGTCTGCCTTTAAGATGAACACAGAAAGGACCCCAAGTTCCCAACATATTAGAGACCTTCAACTCAAAGAGACATCACACATATGGTGCCATGGTGGGAGCAAGTAAACAGGGACCATATAGGTCACCTATTCCCCTGGCCCTCACTGCTAACCCCATAGTTCTGTCTCTCCGCAGGCCTTGTCCCAGATGAGCCTGTCAACCCCTGGGGCTCCCGCAAGAAGCCAGAGAAACCACATGCACAGTCCACAGATGGCAAAAATGAGGCATCTGCCTCATGGTCTCCCATAATGGGCCATGGGGCCAATGTACCCTGGGGTCCAAACTGAATGGAAGAGAGAAAACTGTATGTAGCAACACCCACTGTGTGCTGGGCCCTCAGCTAAATGCTGAACTGGAGTTTTGGGCCCTGTTATCTCAGGATGCGGGGCGGGGGGGGGCACATTTGTTTTCTGTTGGTTTGTGTCATCTCTTCCTTTGGAATTTTTTTAATCTTATGAGAAAATGCCTAAGAAGAATCACTTAATGTTCCTTGGTGCCTCCCTGTCCTTCTCTTGCCTTCAGTAAATTAAATAAATAAATAACATCCCCCTCCTTGATCTGTATGCACAGGAGAAACAGAACACCCTGAACTTTTTTGAGCAGATAAAGGAGAGAAGAAAAAAGTGTTGGCTCAGCCAGGCAGGGAGGGGGAGGAGGGAGGCACAGGGCAACAGACACTTGCCTACTTGCTCCTGTTTCCAAGGCAAAATAGGGGTGGGAGGCTGGGGCCGCTGTGTCCCCAGGCAGGCCATGCCTAGCAGCTTCAAGAAATCAGGTCCACCCCCATTCAACATGCCCAAATGCCCCACTGCCTCCCACCCTTACCCCACCCCGCTCCACCCCCACCCCCACCCCCACCCCCACTTCTCTGGCCTGCAGGCCACCACCTCCCCCTGCAGGCCAGAGCCAACACTACCCTGACTGAACCTGCCCAAGAAGCCAAATTGGAAAGAAGGCAGCAGGGAAAGAAGAAGGAAGAAAGGTCCTGTCCCATGGCAGGGTCACCAAAGAAGGATGGATGAAGATTAGGAGGCCCTGGGAGTGAATCACAAGAAGGGTCAGTGGCCCAGGTTGGTGCAGGACACCCCTTCCTCCTCAGTGTTGGAGTCCACTTCAGCTCATCAGGCAATCAGCAGGTCACTTCCCTCCTTAACACTGACCACTACAACAAAAACAATGCCACAAGGGGCCCAGCCTCCCAGGTGCCCCATACCCTTCCAGAGTTGCCCCTCAGAAGAAACAAAAGAAGTCTGCCCATCCTTGGCTCCCTTCTGAACACCGCCTACTCCCAAATATGTCTGTCTCCCTGTCCTTTCCCCAAGGTCACTCCAGGATGAATGACCATTTCCCAGAGAAGAGTATGGCCAAGGTATTTAGCCCACCTGGACCTTAGGGTCCAGACTCCAACAGCTGAAGCACTCTAAAATGGGCCCATCCCAGGACTTCCCTAGCAGTCCGGTGGTTAAGACTCTGTGCTTCCAACGCAAGGGGCACGAGTTGGATCCCTGGTCAGCGAACTAATAAAATCCCACATGCCGCATGGTGTGACCAAAAAAAATTAATTAATTAAAAAAAAAATGGGCCCACCCTTTCCAATAAGCAGGCTTCTCTCCTCCAAGCCACACATTTGCTCATGTGAGCTCTGTCCAGGGCTTTGGGGGCCACCTGCACCTTCCCCATCAGGGACTTACAAGTGTCACCTCCCAACAGATACTCCTAGTGCCCTAGGGCAGCAACCCAACCTCAGTTTCCCTGAAGGAATCCCTCTCTGCCTCAGGCTTCTAACAGGAGGAAGG